GACTGAATACTTTACATACACTTTACATACATACTTACTCTCTCTCCCCTTATCTAATTGCACATGACCTGGAAAAACATTCGCACCTGTCTTTCTGCATGACTAATTCAATGTAGTTTATTTACTTATCAGTCCTATATCTCCCAATGTAATTTCAAAAGTATATATATATCCGTGTATGTAAAGTATTCAGTCCTATATCTCCCAATGTAACTTCAAAAGTATATATCCGTGTATGTAGAGTATTCAGCTGACGAGTTCTACCGATATTTGATGAATTCATTAAATCCTGCTTTATTAACCTTTATTGCTTGTTTTAGATTTAGAGTTGATGACATTTATTTTAATTTGTTTTCTTATCTACGTTTTCCTGGTAAGTAGTCGTCGATCCTCTTACTGGAAACTATAGTGATTCAACCGAGGGCTTTTTGGGGAAGACTGCACAACGGGATAAAAGAGATAAACAATTCACAAAAACAGCTCATCTTCAGTCACTTCGGTGAATACATGTACAGAAACTAGTCTAACTTAGCAACTGATACTCCTCATTATAACTGGGACGCACGTTTTTAAGTCATGTTAGAGAAAGATACCCTGTTTAATGTGTTTTCATGCATTTTCTTGTAAATAAATATGTCATCTTTTGTGCAAAAATTCCTAATTTTTATGATTGGTCGGCTGAAGGTCACTCGTGTGTTCGCATCGTTTGGGACGCTACTGTTGAACTTTGCCCATTATACTACACTTTGTTTTAATGTATCAAGAAAACATGACCTCTAATGGTTACTTCTACTTTCACGAATATTTAACACATCTAAAACCCGCCGATGGTTCTCAAGATTCCTACTAAGCTTGTGAAACAACCAAACCGTTGGTGTGAAAACTACCACTGACTGAGATATAAGAGGAATTACCTATAGTCTTGTATTATTCAGCTATTATTATGTCCTTTGGTCAGCAACAATGTACTCCTGTATCTCTATTAATTGGCTTTCAACTAAAAGTTGTGCCTTTCTCGATGAATGGAGACAAAGAAGAAGTATCGTAATAAGGGATTGGTTTCAGGCTTCAGATCAGACAGCTATGTGTCACATGATTTACTGTTAGTTAGTACTTTACTTGAACATCCGCTGAACATTCTATACATTATATGAACACTATTCAGAATAAAGCTATTATTTGTTATTATTACTATTACTGAGTATAGAGGATTATCTCCGTACAACTAGAAATCGATTAATCTAAATCTAAAAGTTAGGTTTTACCTCCTACCGTTTTTCTTTAGCCAAATAGGTTCTTCATACGAAAATATATGCAAGTTTGACAACATCGACCAATGAAATATAAGAGATAAATACGCTTTTGACTGACTGATTGACCGACTGCTTTCAATGCAGAACTTTGCACAGATGTGCAGTAGTTCGAGATGCAACACTCCATGTAGCATAAAAAGCAAGAGAAGAGATACAGGAATAACAGACATGTGCACTGTGGTAGGGTATCATTCCATTGAGTAAGATTTATTTTGATGAAGCCTCACAGTTGACCCAATTAGACAAAATAATATAATTTACAAAATACCCTGCAATGACTGTGAGTTAGGTCGACTACATAGGTCAAACTAGTAGGTCGGGGGTAGCCAGATTGTTAGAACATAAAAATTTAGCTAAGGTTAGAATGATTGATCCTACCCACGAAGATAAGTAATTTAGAAAAACAGTTCAGCAATTGCACGGCGTGCATTAACACACAACCACACAATAGGGTAGGAGACGGTTAAAATTCTAAGAAGTAATATAGGTAGGTGGAGAAAGAGATTGACTACTGAATCCTGGTTCATCGAGTGAACCTACACCCAACACGCGCAATAGGAATGACTCATCGCTCATACCGGAAATATGGAAAATACCACTACTACCAACCAAGTCAAGCGATGAAAAAATAGTGGAACCATGTAAACGAAGTTAGAAAGTTGTGTGAGTAACTTGATATGATTATGAGCAATAAATTATGCTCGAAATGTCATCAGTAAATACTACTGCATAATAATGTGAGACTTTATCAAAATAAATTACACCCACAAAAGAAGCTTTTTTATTCCTTTACGTTCCCAGTGCTTCAGACTAGAGCTTTGAAGTTTCGGCAGCAGTGGTGTTTATTCTTATGGGATGCGGCTGCTAGTCCCATGCCCAACCTTCGCTCTTTACCAGTCTTGTTACTGGCTTAGCGAGGCAAAGAAGTGCGTCGGTTGCCGGGAATCGATCCCCGAACCACATAAGTGATTGGCGAGCGTTCTTCCGCTGTGTCACCGACGCGAAGAGAAGAGACATAATAAACAGGTGTGATGGTAAAAGAATGTTCATACGGAATAATAGGGTTTTATTGAGTATAACCAATCATAAAGAGTGAATGCATCTGCCCTAGCCATTGAGAACGAAGATTTTGAGCAATATCACCAATTTTCTCCAACCTTCATTGGTTCTTACCATCCCGGGGAAGCCAACCTGTAAGTCTACACCTTCCTGTGTGGCTGGCACAAACTAACTGTTGTGGATTTCATTGACCAATGAAGTCATTTTTTGGTTTGACCACCACTAGCAGCTCTTTTCCAACCTGATCTTATGTCAGCTAACATCGCCCGTCGAGAAAGGAGATGCCTTAGCATGCATAACACATGTCCTAACCATCTCATAATATACCTTTACCCCAGCAGAAAAATAACTTGAAGCATAGTATGGCAGAGGTGTGGAGATAACTCCCACTATGGTGAGAGCTAGCTGCAAGTCAAAAATTGTAGACAGCAATTCACGACAGTTTTACGTCCTGAATCATAGTCATGATAAAAAAAACAATAACAAAGCTTAACCTTGAGGAACTCAACAACCAATCATAGCAGACTTAACGTGTGCAAACAGGATTCGCAGATATATGGCTTAGCTTTCTGAGAAACGGTCACAAGCAGTACAGAATAACCTTCAGCAAGAAAACAATCATTCAGAAGATATTGCTTCTCCGCTGACAATAATGTACATCAAGATATATAAGTAAATCTAAGAATCAGTAAAAAGTACCTGAGTCACAAGTGGAAAAATCATATGCCCTCTTGACTTTTGAATACGTGTAATTGATTAATTATACTCCCATCAGACAATCGAACGGTAGCGATAAGCCTTAATCAGATACAAGTCAGTAAATGAGTCTAATTACTGGAGTGCTTGATGTATATACACAAACGGAGATGATACTCAGCAGCTGACTTCACCGAATATCACTTTCTTCAAGTGTCTCACAGATGGAATATGAAGAGTGAATGACAATTTATACTAATTTGTATCATTCTAAATTCTAAGAAATCACTTTCACACACATCGACACCATCATGGTAGCTAAAGTTCTAGCCTCAATAATCATACATAAACTAAGTGGTGAAGCGAATGCCGAGAAAATACAATGCACTGATTAACGCACTCTACTCGAACTCATGCAGTCAGCCAGGTGAGAGCCTACAGAGGGAGAGTTGTCAACTACTTGTGTCCGTCAGGGATGCCCACTGTCCCCATTTCTGCTTAATTTCATCATAGATGTACTAATGGAATTAACCCTAACTGCTGACTTCAGCGACTCAGGGATCGACTTGTTACTGTCAGGGCATAGTCCTTCTAGGTGCAGATGCTGACAAAATTTAGCAGAGCCTTCTCAACAACTCCTGCTGTTAAATGTAAGATGATGAGGCTACAGGACTGGAGTACATTGACTCCTAGCTTAGAAATAGGGAGTGAAGTGGTAGAGCGTGTAGACCGCTTCACTTATTTGAGAAGTCGCATCAGCCAGTGCCAGCGGTTTGATCGCTGACGAAATCTCCCCACGGATACAGAAGGCTCGTTTCGAATATGCCGGTTTGCGCCACCTCTGGTGTAGACGTGATATCCGGCTGGCTATCGACCAAAGAGCGTGTGTACTGCTCAACAGTCCGCTGCATCCTCGTTTATGGCTGTGAGACCTAGCCATTGAAAGTGGAAGACATGTAAAGCCTGGCTAGCTGTCTTTCATCATAGGTGCCCACCTGCATTCTATCTCCAGTGTCAAGTGGTGCGCAATATTGAGGTTATGCATTGGTCTAGTGCTAGGGTAAGTAAGGAGGGGAAATCAACAGACGAGGCTGTAAAGTTACATCGATTGAGATGGTTAGGAGGTGTGTTACGTATGCCTAGCCATCCATCGCCTTCCTCGACAACGGGCAATGTCAGCTGATATAGAGTCCGTTTGGAAAAGAGCCAGTGGTAGTTAAACCAAAACATGGCTTTAACAGCCAATGAAGTCCACAACAGTTAGTTTCTCTCTAGCCAGCCGCGTAGGGAGGTGTAAACTACTTGGCTGGCTGGAGACAATCGGTGATACGACTCAACAGCGGTTAGGACGCTCACCGACCATGCACACGGTCCGAGGTTCAATCCCCCGCCGACGCACACCCGATATCAATGGTCAGCCTACTAAATTTGGGCTACCGATATCCCATGCTGAAAATTTCATACTTGTGTCAAAAATGCTGTGTGGAGTCAAGCTATAATAAAATAAATAAATCGTTCTCAATGGCTGGTGCAGATGCATCCACTCCCTGTGACTTATAATTTCCAATGAAACTATATTGTTCTTCGTTATTACTATTCCTCTGTCTCTCACCTCTGTTTACTGTCTCTATTATGCATTTCTTCTACTTTCTCCTTTTGCCTTGTGTGCTACATGGAGGGAGTGCGGCGAATTGAACTGCTGCACATCGATGCAAAGTTCTATGTTGAAAACAGACAGACAGACAGAGATGAAGATAAGACATCAATGTTTTTCCTCATTCAAGCGATTTGCATCTCTCTCAAGTATATCTATCGGATGCAGACATGTTGTTGTATGTTTAAATTAACAAAGATGAACTTAACATAATACTCAAACATTCAGAGAAAAAAAACACTGCACTAATTGAAGTTATCAAAAAATGTATTTATAAAGTTAGTATATACACAACATATTATTATTATTTATTAGAATACAAGTCTTCATAGGTGACTAGATCTCGACTGGATTCACTACTACCAGGCGTAGAGTTTGAAGATCCTTCTGCCGGAGAAAAGGAATCACTGAAAGAAGCTTTTCGAAATGATCGACCTAAATAAAGTTAAATGAAAAGTAAATGATTGATTATATGTGGTGTTTTTTGTGAAGAAGAAGAGATCAGTTTTACTAAGCTGAGATATTTTTCAAGATAATAAAAGAATATTTGAACCAGTAGGTATAGTATTTATTATTGACCTGATGCTTTAATCCCCTTGGTTATCTTGTGGTGAGAGCTGTCTGCTAAGCGAAAATTGGTAAACAGCAATTTACGTCAGTGTTTACGTCCCAAGTATTGGTCATGAGAAAAGAAGAAGAACAAAAACTTTGCGTAGGCGGATACGATTCGCAGACATATGGTCTGACCTTCAAAGAAACAGCCACAAAGAAATGATAGATTAACTTTCAGCGAGAAAACAACCAATCGGAAGAAGCTGTTTCTCTGCTAATAATTACGAATAATAATGTAAACAAAAATATATATTGCAAAAATGTTCATTCAGACATCTATAAAACAAAATAATCGAGCAAAGAATATTCTTTTCGATAAATTCCTCTTCCAGGCTCTACAATTATATATATGTTTTTATACACAGAATATTTTAAATTAGTAGTTATTAACAATATTAGCGTTTTTTAAATAATATCGATTTGTAAATTATGATCAATGCTATTGCAGTTCATTAATGATGCTTAAATTATAATAATAATAAAGATATAACAGCGGATAGAATATCAACTAAAATTAGGGAAATTTCACAAAATTCTGGATTATTCAAACCTGGATGGCCAAGGTAATGATAATGACTGGACTAACTTCTTCTGGGTGCATAAATTAGGCTTATTAATATGAATCCCCACAGCCTCCGCAATATTTAGAAGTCGAACTCTTAAAGCGAAATTGAGATTCATAGGTATGCGGTAAATGACCCTGAAAGCATGATTAACGTCAATCTTGTGTTCTGTCTCCACAAGATGCGCCAGAATAGCACTGCGAATAGATTTTGTTTGATAAATAAATATATATATAAATATATATAAATATCTCTTGATTTCCTGAATAAAAGATCTGTTGCCTGGCCCTTGTCTTCTGTCGTTACAATCTTAGTTTCAACGAGGAATATTCCTCCTAGTGAGATTCTATAATGGATTTTGATATAGACAAGTAATTAGAAAAACGAACTGTCGATTGCGTAATTGGCTGATTAATTTGGCCTGATTCATCCAATTATAACTTGTTGTATTACATACGCACAGTTAGATAAGCCTATCTAAACTGGATAAGTACCCGGCTGATGTCACCTCCAACTGTGTTTATAAATTTATGTGCACTTGCGGTAGCAAGTACATTGGAAAGACAGGAATAAAGGCTTCTATCCGGTTTTTTGCGAGCATATCTCAAGAAACTCATACATGAAAAGAAAGCAGATATTCGCGCAGTACAATTACCAGACACCCTGTGGATACGGGGCATTTCGTCGAGATTAACCAAATCTTTCAAAATATTAAATGTATACAAAGGGCAGCAAATTGACTACGATTTGCTGAAGCAACTGCAATCAAACGTCTCAAACTAAAATTATGCATTACAGAAAGAAAGTGTAATCAATTCCTCACTCCCTTGGTAACTGCATTTTGATTACATTGATTAAACAGCCAATATGAGTGATTTCAGCTAACTGAACAAGCTTCAATCTTAAGAACTATAACCTTTTTTTTTATTTACAGCTTGATTCCACACCGTATTTTCAGTACAAGTGTGGAATTTTCAGCATGGATATCGGTAGCCCAAATTCAGGCCGACCATAGATATCGGGTGTGCGCCGGCAGGGGATCGAACCCCGGACCATGTGCATGGTCGGCGAGAGTCCTAACCACTGTGCCACCGACGCCACTATAACCTTCTTCTTGAGTTACTACTGATGTGAACTTAATACATTTATGTTAACTGTCCTTTCTTAGTCTAATCTTTTAATATTTTTAGTAGACAACCTTTTTCGTTGAGAAGACTTCAACTAACAGTTTGCCTCCAGAGGACTCCAGAGCCAGACAATTTATACTCTGTCTTCATTGTAATTATGATCAGTTAAAGTTTGAAGTTTTTTTGGTGGGGATGAGTGGAAATAATGCCTCAGTAGTGATTACCTTTTTAGAGGATTAAGATTAAGTCAGTGTGTGCGAATAAAAAAATAACAAAACATATAAGTGAATAATATTGTTGTTTTCATTATGGGTAAATTTTGTTTTGATAAAGCCTCACAGTGTTATACAGTAATGTTTACTGATGACGTTTCGAGCCCAGTTTATTGCTCCTTGATATGATTATGAGCAATAAATTGTGCTCGAAACGTCATCAGTAAATATTACTGTATAACACTGTGAGGCTTTATCGAAACAAAATTTACTCATAATGGAATTACACTCTACCACAGTGCACAAGTTTTATTCTTATACCAATTGCTGTTTTCAGTTAGATCTTCTTCAGGCTTTACTGTAATTTACATAGATTTATCTATAGAATATTTGAACCAATTCTGGTGAGTTTGTGGATCAAATAATTATGATAATAACGATGATTATAATGATAATAAGGTTTAAGCAGGTAGCGATAAGAATAATGTAGGTAGTAATATATATGCAGACATTTCAATTAATTAAATTAGGTCAACTCTTAAAAGTTACGTAATACTAAAGGTGAAGTGGACAGATAATCAGAGTTTAAATAAATATCATAAAAGTAGGAAGAAAATGGAAAATAAGAAAGGATGGGAGGGTTTTAGTTAAACTTTACCTAGGCCAAGGGAGAGACAAATGTAGAACAAACTTCTTTTGTATGCAAAGACTAGGATTGTTCTCTCGAATTACTTCCCATAGCTTCGGCTATGTGTAGAAGGTGAAGGGTTCGAATTCCTTTCGAAAGGCTCGATACATAACCTGGCAGGCATTTCTTCTGTCAATTTGGTGACCGCTATCAATCAAATGAGACAAAATAGAACTTTTTATAGATTTTATTTGACCTTTTCCGAACCATGAAGGAAGATGCTCATTAATGCGTTTGTTAAGCTGTCCAGCTGTTCACCCTATATAGATCTCTCCACAAGAGCAACTAAATTTGTAGATACACATAGAAGTGGCACAGCTAGGCAGCTTATCTTTCGCTTGAGCAATAATAGTCGGTCGGCTGAAAAATGACAAACAAAGGGTGACGGCAGTGTAAGTGCATTTTATTGCTCTCGATAATCTTAGATGTCGGACTTCGCTAGCCACGTCCCCATTGAATTGCAATTTTAGGAACAGTTATTTCTTATTAACTGTTGTCAGTTTCTCTTTATTATACCTGGTGTTTATGTGTCTCCTTACAAATCTACTAGAATAACCCATTTGGACCAGCGTATTTTGGATATATCCTAACTCATTTTCTAAGGAGTCATCTGTACAGATACGTCTTGCTCTATTCGTGAAATATCTAACCAAATTGATTTTGTATCAGATTAGTACAAAACTGAAGAAATGTGTATATTGTCCTACAGATGTAGGTTTTCTATAGACATCTCTCTTATGTGAACCATCCTCTCTTCTGCTCAACTGGAAGTGTAGCCTACCATCATATTCTTCACAGGTGAAAATGAGCGATGGGTGTGCATCATTAAATTTTATTCACATTTCATTCTTGTCAGCTTCCTCATCAAGAATAATAAACTTATCATCAACATAACGAAAATAAGAATCCATTTTATCTATCAATTTTTTCAATGGACTATTTGCAAGCTTAGCAAGTAAGAAACCTGCTAAAATTGGACCCAATGGAGAACCACCCATGGCAATATCGTCGATTTGTCTGTAATAAAGGTTGTTGAATGTGAAGTGTATATTCATTCATAGTACATCTTAAAAGTAATTCTTTCAGACTAATAACTGGAATTCCAATTTCGAACTGTTTTTAATGGGAATATTTAAAGATTTAAAACAAACAGTGACATCAAAAGAAAGTAAATAACTTACCTATATGATACTTTGTAGGTGAAAATGGCTTTGAATGATGAAATGGTCTCCGAGCATATGAAACACGTAGAAGACGATTGCTTACCATTTGATGATCCAACTAAAGACCACAAGAATTATGTAATCATCACACACACACAAACACACATACCTTTAATGCACTTTCTGCCATTTGATTTGTAGCCATTGTAACGTATGCATGACTGAAAAAGAAGTATTTTAAGAAACATAAATTTAACTAAGCTTTTAAAAAACAGTCTACTGACATGTAATACGAATTTATCGGTGTAAGCGATGTCTAAGAACTCTGTGTGTGTGTGTGTGTGTGTGCGTGTAACTAACACATTCCCATTAGTAAACAGTCAATTCTAAATAACAGTTCAGAAAACAAATCGATTTTTCAAGTGTTGGTTTGTAGGGATTTGATTGGTTACAGGATTTTCATCATGAGCTGATATTAGTTAGAGAACCATTGGAAAACTAGCACTGGAGTACTGGACAGATGTTTCGTCCTAGTTTGGGACTCTTCATCAGTACGCACCCACCGGGGTTCGAACCCAGGACCTTCTGGTTACAAGGCGAGCTCGTATACCATTAAGCCACTGGGACACGATCCAATGGCCCATGAATTCTAACTTCTGCTAATTCACGACATAGCGCGAACTCTAGCCAATGTCTTCGGCGAGTATTTGTCTTCACACCCTACTGGTCACGACTTCTCACTAGAACCCTAGGTAACTACCTACCCGAATAGGGCAAGTCGCTAGTGAGCATCTCATTGATATTCAAGTGTTGGTTTGTAGGAATTTGATTGGATAACCAATCCTGTAACCAAATCGATTTTTGACTACACTAACCCACTTTAACAATTTCCAAAACCCTATTTACACCCATAGGAAAAACAACATATTGAACAAAGAAATGTATTCCTTTTTGATTAGTTCATTATCGGTTGACTCTAAACTGATATATAGTCTCTTAAAGTAATAATTATACCAATCCTGTGGTTATTTTAGTCTACTATTATTATTATTCCCTTGGGTTTCGAGTGGAACATAGGGCTTCAACAATACATCTATGCTTTGTCCCACTTTCTGCTGTCCTTTTCATCTGGATCCACCATTGCCCATAATCTCTCATGTCACTCTCGCACCGATGACCCGCTCGTCGCTTCCCATTGGGATTTCACTCGAGCGATGGCCAGCATCGCGAGCGATGACATTTGACGGCTTACTTAAGTTGTGTCCGATCCATCTCCATTTTCTCCTACATATTTGTATTTCAGTCCATATTAATTACCAATTTTAAGTATAGGGGGCAGGGTGAAAACAAGAGGTTAAGAGTCATCAAAACAATTAACTATTAGATGTTAGCAACAATGACATCTAAGTTTTGAAGGAGGGTTGGAAATTAATTTCAGAGTTCAAGATCAGTTAATTCGGAAAGTGAGCAACGAGTTAATCATATAATCAAGAAATCTGTAAAATAATGATGACTAAGAAGAATAGAACTGTAAACATAATTAAATAACAAAGTCAAAAGACAGTTACAAGGAGAGAAGGAAAATCGCTTTTAAAACTGAAAACAGATGATGTAGTTGACCACAGAGAATAAAGGAACGTACACAAATTTGACTTGTTCAGATGGATTCCGACTGTCTCTGATATATATAAGAGTCATACTCGTGGACTATGCGAAAGGTTGACTGAAATACGATATATAACTTTAAAAGCTTTGTTAGAATCAACTTGATGTCCAGTACCGATGAGATGCGCTGGTTTGATTGGACACTAGTGAACTAACTAGTGTAAGGTGTCTAGTCCTTTGTTTGGTGAAGACTGAGTTCTACCGGTCAGGTTTGCAGTGTGTCCACCATTCTAGGTGGCTCGCCATCAACAATTCACACTGCACCGTGATGGCGAGCCACCTAGAATGATGGCCACACTGCAAACCTGACTGACAGAACTCATTCTGCACCAAACAAAGGACTAGACACTAGTCAATCAACGAGGCTGTGAAGTTACATCGATTGAGATGGTTAGGACATGTGTTACACATGTCTAGCCATCGCCTTCCTCGACGGGCAATTTTAGCTGAAATAGGGTCAGGCTGAAAAAGAGCTAGCGGTGGTCAAACCAAAACATGGCACCAGTCAATGAAATCTACAACAGTTAGTTTAGGCCAACCTGGTCGGGGTCCTCAGGATGGTAAAAACCAATGGCGGCTGGAGACAATTGGTGATATGGCTCAAAATCGTTCTCAATGGCTGGCGCAGATGCATCCACTCCTTGTGACTTATAATTTCCAATAAAACTATATTGTTCTTCGTTATTACTATTCCTTTGTCTCAAACCTCTGTTTACTGTCTCTATTATGCATTTCTTCTACTTTCTTCTCTTGCTTTGTGTGCTGAATGGAGTGTGGCGACTTGAACTGCTGTACATCGGTGCAAAGTTCTATGTCGAAAACAGACAGACAGGCAGACTAGACACATTACACTAGTTACTTCACTAGTGTCCAATCAAAGTACCCAATACAGCCCTACAAGAGGTCAATAGTCAGCCCGAATAGCTCAGTGGTGGTACCGTCTCTGACTGCAACTCTCACTGGCTGACTTGGGTTTGAACCTCAGAAGGGACATGAGTTCCTTCACGGTTGCAGATTACGCCTTGCTGATTTGTGAGTGCCAACTAGCACGAAACCTTAGATGCAATGGTATTGAGAGCTGCGTACAGCTTTATTCGAACTTTTGACAAAACCAAGATGGTAATATGAGTTTAGAATAACGATTTTATGCCTACCTACCACCACCCATCTTAATCTTGACAACCGAGCATCAAGATAAGGTCTCATTACACAACAGGTGTGTATCACCTCACAATAATGAAGGTGTATGAGATCATTGAGTTGCATAATCATTCTTCTTAACTCTATGAGAACACTACGTTGGTAAATTGTAAGGAGTATAAGGATAGAATTTATAATACTACATGCACTACAAACCAAGTGTTTTCTGATTAGTAAAAGGTAATTGGGAATAGGCATAAGTGAAAGGAGGAAAAGAAATACGCAAAAAGTCAATACCAAGGTACGAATGTATCGTTTCATCATAGTTTGTTTTACGGTTATTAACCACATTTGAGCGAACATAAAGAATAATGACCATGGAGTGCGAACGCACCAATAAATAATCTTGAACGCGTACCATTCGTTGGATTACACAACCTGCTGCCGTGTATTTTACATCAAAATGGTGTTTATTTACGAGAAAAATTAACACAGTAGTAATAGTGAAACACATTAAAGATGATATTTTGCTCTGACGTAACTGAAAAGTACTTCACAGTAACAATGAAGGCTATCGGTTTTCAAGTTTTATAGCTATTAAAACAACATCTATACGGACAACGAAACACTCCTATTTATTTATTTACAAGGAAAATACACATGGATATAATAAAACACCCTAATCCCTGGCTTAACCCTGCCTACAACCCTAACCCTGACGTGCTGTGAACCAATTGTCCAAACAGTACCTAAAACCGAGATCAGGATGAAATTTACACATCAGTTCATGCACAGAGTTCATACTGGCTCTGTAATAATAACAACAGGTTGTGTAATGCAAAGAATGTTATACGTTCAAGGTTACTGGTGAGTTCGCTATTCTTTTAGATTGACACACATTTGATAGTATAACCTTGACTGTTTTATCTCCCAAGTCTCGATTTATTGTGGCAACTTAGATAAGTAAGTAAGAATGCAGAATTCTACTTTGTTTACACATTCTCTTTAAAGAACCAAATATTATTATTGTATGCGTTTTATATTAATACACCCAATCAAATATACATCAACAAGTGTACCATACTGATTATCATAATTATTATTATTATTATTATTATAGTTTCCTTTGATTCTTAGAAAAACATAGGGCTTCAGCCATGCGTCTCCATTGCTTTCGGTTCTCTGCTAAAGTTTTCAACTGGCTCCAAGTCTGCCCACATGCTTTCATCTCCTCTTCACATGACCTCCTCTAAGTCACACTTGGACAACCAACTCACCGCTTCCCTTTCGGGTTCCACTCAAGGGCTTGTCTGGTGATGTCACTTGATGGTTTCCTCAGAGTATGGCCAATACACCTCCATTTCTTCCTGCCTATTTGTTTCACAATCGGTTCCTGGTTGGTTCGCTCCCAAAGATCTCTGTTGCTGATCTTTTCTGGCCATCTGATCTTGAGAATTGAGCGAAGACAACTGTTAATGAAGGTCTGTAGTTTGTTTGAGATGCTCTTTATGACGCGCCAAGTCTGTGATCCATATAGTAGCACTGACTTCACACAGACTTGAGAGTAATGAAAGCTTGTCTTGCTTTCCCGATTCTTGCTTTGATATCCTCGTCAGTTCCGCCTGTAGTTGAAACGATGCTTCCCAGGTAGGTAAACTATGAACTATGGGACATTTGATAGGGTTCACGACTCATTGCTTACTTTGTCGCAAAACAATATTCTTGGAGACTTACTACATTGGATTGTGTCTGCAAAGCTGTCTCCTTAACCTATATCATCTATAGAGCTACTTCTAGAGGGAGTTAGTGTTTCAAGCCCTAAGACCTTCATTAATGTGAACACCATCAATACAGCATACAGTTTAAACAAATACATGTTTTCGGTAAATTCCCATTGGTTCCTACAATTACGTAATAAAATATTAGTCACAGACATTTGGAACTAATGTGTTTAATAGGACTAAAGTTCAGGTATATGGATTAGTGAATAATAATCGAAGCGATTATAAATATGACAGATTTATGCAAGTTTTTATCAGTCGTCAGTTGTTGTTAATGTGTATACTTGCAGAGGTAGAGGGGAAAATGATTACTGTCCCATAACGATTAGATAATAGTATTTGTTTGTGAAACTGTGATATAGTTGCATATTTTAATCTTAGTTTAAAAACAGGAATTACAATTTTATCTGAAAACTATCAAAACATATGAACTTAAAGTATAATAAATCCTGTTCAAATGAAAACATACTTGGGAGGATCGCCTATCTTAACCCTAACGACGGTACCATACGGCTTGAAGACATCATGAATAAAAGGTTCAGTGATATTATGATATGCCACATATAAGGTAGAATGCATTGGTCTATTTGGAGAACGTAAATGATCTCCTGAAGATGAACCTGAAATATCCGACACCTTTAAATAAAAAATAAACACGGTAATTACCTGGTCGGTATCTGAAGTTTTATCATCTGGTACGGGGCAAAACTGTTGTTTTCTTTTAGTTATTGAAGGCTCAGAAGTTGGTGTATAATCTGTTTCTGAAATTTCCATTTTAGATTCAGCTAAGTCAGATTGTTTATTTTCCTCCAACTGCACTGGATTAAGCGTTGGACCAGGAAGGAAATTGCGGTAGAGCGATTGTTTCGCTTTTATTGCACTAACACTAATTCCAGGTACCTCGTCCTCTTCACTTTCCTAATTGTGTTAATTTCTATTGTCAAACCACTCACTTTAGGTTTACGCTTAAATGTATGACGTTCATTTTTGTTTTCAATCGATATTGCTCCTGATTTCAATAATTTCATTGCCTCCTCTTTAGCTTTCTCTCTCGGTTTCAATGCTTCATTTTTTTATAAGAAAGACACAAAAATATACCTTTCGATTTTTCTTCTTTCCTTTCGCATTTTTTAACTTCATTGTCAATATCATTCAGAGTTCTTCTCTGAAGAGGCGAATTAGGGCATATATACACTATACCATTAGTCTGAGAGACATCATTTCTTTCCGTAGAGCTTTTTCAGGATCAGAAAGCTCAATAGGCAGGTCTATTTTAACTATACGCCGCCAATTTACTCAATTAATCAACAACAAAAATGGGAAACATACATGATGCCAGTAGTTCATCTACATCGATATTCCTATAAATTTGATAGGTATACAATAAATAGTAACTTACTTTCCAGCTTCCAGGTCCGGATCTTCTATCGTCATAATGCGACTTGCCAGGATGTTTCGATAGTTGATATATACTACACAGAATTTTAACTGACCCTGTTATAAAAACTGAATGAGAAACCAGAATATTAAAGAGTATTTTACTGCAGAGAATGACTAAATTAGGAATTACGCTACAGTTACCTCAGCTAGTAACGTTATGCCCACATACTAATTTACGAGATAGAAGATAAACCTGAATAAGCGTTTGACATACACGTTAACTTTTATGTGAAAAGATGCCCGGTGATCCAATCATGTTACTGCACTATTTAATATCATATTTCTAATAATATGATGACAAATGACGCGTATTAGGACATATCTGTATGTACGAAAAATCGGATTTATTTTACGAGTGAGAAACTAGCGAAAATATTAGACAGTGAAGTTTTTTTCAACAAAATCATATAATAATTGCCTCTCGGTTTGACTACTCATACGCTCAACACAAAAATGTATTATTCAAATTATTGTAGCTAGAATATATCTTCTTTTAAGGGCTCCAGTAGTTTGATAAGTTCATTTTATTTGAAAATTAAAGAAATTACGAATATTGTAAATCAACTATGATCAAAAATTTTCGGAGACACACCACGTTCGGACTCCCAACGTAGTCTCTGTCTCATATAAGTAAGAATTCAGACGAATTGTAACTATAATAAAAACAAAAACAGTTTTGAAGTCTTTTGAGGGATATAAATTATACATGATAACATTTATCATTCAAGATGAAAGCAAAGAACCAATGTGTTAATTTAACCTAGTATGCTGTCTTTCACACACATCATTACTACGTAAAATTTATTTCGAGGACTGATTTTATTTGTTTATTGATAAACAAATTTAGAATCTAGGTGTAGAACATACCAACCAAGACACATTAATTTGTCACACCGAATTCTCGTGTATATGACCTTGAGATTATATATTGCGCCAAAATTCGAATTCCAATATCCCAAACAGTAGCAATCTTTGAAAAACCTGATGACCTCTTAGCACCTGTTTCTCAACCCTGTAATGAAGTCATGTATTCGTTTTGTATCTTGATGTAGAGTATTTTACTGCCCAGACTCTATTGGCGTAGTGAACTTGCTTGTTGCTCACTGATGACTTTTTAAACACAATGGTCCAGATTAAGTTATCTCTGCATATTTGACTATTAACACTGAACAAAGCTGTTCTCTATTAATTTGGGTTTTCGTATCTTACATAATACAGATTCTGTAAAAGTGTTGGTAGGCCAGTATCGTCAGTAACCAACTGAAATTTTAACCTGGTTCACGGGATCATTACTAGAGCATGCTGATGTCACTGTGCCCTCAAATTGATTTATAGCACCAGAATTAGCAAAAGCAAAGATAAGAGCAAATTAAAGAATGTTATTTAAAGATAGAGAAGACAACACTTACTGGTATCATTTTATTATTTTTATTTTATAAATTTTACCTCCAAACTTGCAGCCACTGAATCTGGACAGTAGTGTTAATCTCTTTGTTTGGTGATTGGAGAGATACAAAACCATGAAAACCTTATAATTAAGCCTTCAGATATATTATGGCTCTATGAACTTTCACTAACAGCTTTCTTTATGCATTGTCTAGTGTTCTTTGGGTTTTTCTTACTATACTTCAAGTTTTGATCAGGTTTTAAACTTTAACCTTGCATAAAATGTTGTACTCATATCGATATTACTTATCTAACCTCTATATCACTCAACCTCCGCCAGCCTTCAATTTTTAATCTACTTAAGGCATACTGTGAAGGCGAACACCGGTGAATTTACACCCTTCACCTTTACTAAAGAACATGTGAGATCCATTTGCTGAGGCACCTTTCATGTTGTTTTATAGTTTAAATGCCTCAGTGCACACTTCATCATAATCGTTATATGGTGGCCATCCTCACGGTAAGTGCTAGTACCTACTTTCTTGAGGTTACTGGTATTCCCGATAATCTTTATCTGTTTATGCTTATGCGTAAACTTGAATTTAATCCACTAGTGTGGATGTTAGATATGCCAAGTTTATTACTAAGATCGAATCTAAACTGGGATTTAGCTATACTAAAACTGTCGAAAAAAGCCTTCTGGGAGCTCACTTAGCTACATTAATTTGACGAGTTCAACCATTTTCTCTGCCTCTACTGGAAATAACTTTGATGGTTGTTGTGTGGCCATCTAATCTATCTGACCAGGTCTTTCCAATATCCAATATCGTTTTTACGAGCTAGTATAAACCAATTTGATTTCTTTGTGCTCGCCTCTTGATTGTGAGGTAGAGATTCCTGATCTTCGGTAAACGTCTGCGTAGCTCGTCCCGCCACTCGACTGTCGTAGCTTTGGTTGACTCCAAAAGGAGTAGTGCAGGGATTAATTATATGTGGTTTGTAGTATGAGGTGTGTTAAGACTGTTACTACTGTGAATGGAGTTGATCCTTTCACCAGTTGGTCCTTCGGTATCGTCGTCAATAGAAAAGAGATAATAATAATGATGATAATAATAATAGATATAATTAGTGAAGGTATTCAGACTAACAGACAGAAAAAGAATAAGAAAACGTAACAACAGTCAGTCAACCGGTATATACATATATATATATATATATATACCGGTAATAATGATAATAATAATAGGTGTAGTTAAAGCTGTCAGGAGAGTAAGACGGAAGAGAATGTAAAGAAGTAAAACGACAAGTTTAATTGTCTACCCTTGAATGGTGTATGCGATTTTAAGGGGATAGGCCATTTGGATGCAGTCCTTGTGTCGCTGCATGGTTGTCCAGCCTTCGCTTAAAAGCATCCACAGACGGTGCCATAGCTACATCTGCCGGTAAGGAATTCCAGGGACGGCAAACCCGCAGGGAAAAGAAGTGGGAGCGCACCCGGATTTAGGCAGGACACTTGGGTGACACAGACTGTTATTCTCAGAACTGCATCGCTCTAGTGTCACTGAAGCCTGGGGACGTATTAAAGCCTCAGTTTGCTGCCTCCTTATGGTTCGAGGTCTGCTTTCGCAGCATCGGATGTGTCCTCCCATTTTCCCCTTGATCTCATACCACCGTTGAAGTGCTATGGCCAACTGCTCTGGGGAGTTGAATGTGACACTTAGAAGCTTTGGAGAGCTAATCAGTGTGAGATGAGCGGGGCGAGGTAGTCGGGAAATGGAGATGGCTCCAGAAGCGCCCAGGGCCATCTGAGATGACAGCCATCTCCATTGCTGTACGTCATGCATGTGTTTTTCACAAGCAGTGCCCGTTTCCAGCTCCGGAACACCGTGTACCACCATAGAGGTAGAAGGCATCAGTTCCGGTGACTCCCTCGCCATTTGTCTGATAGCCCATGGTCTGTCTTGTCTCACCCTTATGTTCGAACTTCTGTCGATGGCTAGTACCTGAGCCATCAATAGTACCTTTTCGGCCTCTTCGGCAGAGTCCAGTGTAACCCTTAATGGGGGTGGCTTACCCTGAGGCGTGTGGACACCCCTGTACAGCCTGCACAATTTCACTGAACTAGTGTTCAGACCTAATTTATTGCACAGGTTGGACCACTGTTCCTGATCAAACATAGCCCGCTGTTCAAGCAAGCTGTCCTTGCTCACAGGTACGTTAAAGAGTATAAGAGAATTAGACCGATTAACCTCAGACTTAGGTTTGGCCTTTGGCTTCTTGTATTCCTTTGCTGCATCAGCAACTTTAGGCTTCATCAGGTTCTGGCCAGCCTTTGTTGTGTTGCCGAGCTTGCTTGTGGATGCAAGTGGTACTTTTCTAATTCTCTCTTCCCTTGATTTTGTGGATCCAACCTTATGAATCTTCACCTTAGAAAATTGGCATTTTCAGTCAGTAGGACTGGAGTGTCCTTCTTACTGTCTGTGCCAAGTTTTGGCAGTGTGGTGTTAGCAGGTGGGGAGCTGCATAAGACTTTGTTGGGACACAAGAGCGACTTGTTGTTTCTGCTATCCGCAGACACGCTCTGTGGGACTTTGCCAGGGCGACAAAGTGGACAGATGTACCAAAACCACGGGCACGGGTTATTTCTCATAAACTCGTAGTATGCTTTCGGCACCTCTTTATCACAACGGCAGTGCACCCACCGTTTGCAAAAATTGCATTCAAACGCTGAGTCAGCTTTAGCAACTATGATACTGCATGCCTGGCATTCGTCTCCCTTACTTGATGACGCCTTCGAAGTCTTATGACGTCTTGAGCGTTTCCTTTTAGGTTTGCTGTGTTTCACACACTGGCTTTCAGTTGATGCAGGGGTAATATCCTGTCCCCCTGGTATTGCCTGTGCCGTTTCAGTACTAGACTGTGGCAATGCAGGCGTAGTATCAGGACAGACGAGACCTACCCGAGTCTTTAGGATTGGTATGCGGGAAGGGGTTGATGTCCCTGGGTTTTTGCCTTCTCTGGCTGAAGCCCTTGTGACTACAGAGTAAGGTGTTTTAGTGCCTTTTCTAAGGCTACTTTCGACAGCCATATTAACAATCACTAAAACTTATGCTATATAAGAATAAGAGTGCAACAGTATCTACCCGCAAGAACAAAAATAAGACTGAAAAAGTACAAGACAAGGAAAAGAAAAGGTTTTCGACTTTACCTAGTACTTTCTGGATGATCGGCTTCACAGCAATCACGTGGTAGACCAACAAGTCTTGTTTATCTGAACGAGTGAGGAAGATGCTGCTACAAAAGTAGCACCTGAAGCTTTGGCAGTAGTTCGAGACAGCTGGACTTACCACACAGAGATTCAATATGTAAGTAATGGTTGAATTTAATTCACCGGCTAGGAAGATCAGGTTTCCCAAGCGGATAATTCACAAAATAGGTATTTTCCGGTTAGAGAGGAAAAAGCACGTCGTATTCAAGGAGCGCGCGTCGAATTTTGGCCCGACTAAACTTAACGCAGTGGCCGTAGATCTCCTAACATTGCCAAAATTCACTGAACTATCTGGAAATCTTCCAGTTTATTATTTGAGAGCACTGGCTGATAACTTGTACAGGAAGTACTGAGTCATAAACCTAAATGAAGCGTTCGAGACCCTCTTTTCTTCACATTGTATGTTACTGAAATATGTACTTAAAAGTTTTATAAAGTCAGATAGGTTTGTATACATCCGCACTAATGTACTCCAGTCCTCCTTACCGTCCTTTACATCTCATCCGAAATCTTCTGAAGAAGCATGCTGTTCGAAGTTATCTAAAGATAACTTATGCTACAACATAACCTTTTAAAGTCAAAATTTACCAGAAGAGTCTATTTCATAGCCAAGTATTTTTATTTTTTATTTTAATTTTATTATAGCTTGATTCCACACAGTATTTTGGTACAAGTATGAAATTTTCAGCGTGTGATATCGGTAGCCCAAATTTAGCAGGCCGACCATAGATATCGGGTGTGAGTCGGCGGGGGATCGAACCTCGGACCATGTGCATGATCGGCCAGAGTCCTAACCGCTGTGCTACCGACGCACATTTAGTTTGTAGTAGCGCACTTTAGTTCGAAGTGCTTTGACTATGGGTGTAGAGCCATTTTTCGAAATATTTTGGTTTCTTGTCATTACCATCCAGCGCCTATTCTTTATGTGCTGTGGATAAACCAGATGAACACGGAATTTTTATGTCAGATAGGTGAAATTATTTACAGAGCTCTTTTTATTGAATGATTCGGCGTTAATTTGTTTTTATCTTTATCGGTTTTAGCTCTGTCTGTTCAGTAAATCATGCTTAAATATTCTGTTAAAGATAGTTGTAACCAATGGATGGAATGAATGAAAGTGTAGTCTGATATGTTCAGTTAGGTTATTCTAATAGATCTGTCCAGGGATATTATGATCTAATTTCTGTTTTTCTTCATCTCCAACCGAATTTTGCATTCTCCGGTAAAACAATTCGATTCATGGAGTTCTTCACTTACGTTGACATGGTAGCAATTTAAAA